CAGACCCGTCCATGAGTTACGATGATGGCAGGTTACTACGGGTTTATCTCGTAGTCATTTCTATATATATTTTGCATTATGTGACTTGACAATTGTAAACTTCGGTTTTCTGGGTCGGGTTCTGTTATCGCATGCAAAAATGCCAAGTAAAAATTCACAGTTGTTGATTCTAGCGATGACGACAAGTAATTTCGACACTGACTCAATGCTTGGAAGAATGATGGACATTGGAAAACCAGGAGCAGGCTTTACTTCAAAAATTGGGGAGCAAGTTAGCCTTTCAAAGCCTTTCGACTTATTTAGTAGAATTCATAATTGCCAAATGATGAGTTGTGGAAATACAGCATGATAAACAAGCGAAACTTTTGGTATTGCTCCTGAAAGAAAAAGTGGTATTTATGTTTTTTTTGAGTCAAGGACATCTATGTAGGAAATCATGGATTTGACCGTTGCTGCGAAACAACTTTTCACATCGCAGCCAATGATGTTAGAGTGCAGTGTGCCGCTCAACGTTTGTGGAGACATTCATGGTCAACTTAGCGACCTTGTTCGGCTTTTTGATATGGTGAGGATGCCTACGTCAAAGGGGCTAAATGTGGCAGTCCCGTTAAGGTGGGATGGCCGCCAACTGTGAACTACCTATTTCTCGGAGACTACATCGATCGTGGTCGATGGAGCATAGAGACGATCATGCTGCTGCTCTTGATAAAGGTACATGTTTATATAGACTACTCTCTAAACTTTCGATAAACTTGCTAAATAAAACTTAAAAATTTGCTAAATGAATGCTTACAGCTGAAATATCCTGATAATTTCCTACTACTACGTGGAAACCATGAAACGGTAATTGTCAATAGGATATATGGCTTTTATGAAGACCTTATTCGACGTTTTGCAACTCCACGTTTGTTCAATTCCTTTCAGGTAGTACTAACGTTGATTGTAATTACCCCCTATATCTCAATTATTTAGGATGTTTTTGCAATGATGCCATTGTCTGCATTAATTTCCAACCGTATTTTATGCATGCATGGAGGATTGTCTCCACAGCTTTTGAGCGCCGACTCAATCGAAATTCTTAATAAAATTGTTCGCCCCATAGCAGTAAGTTGACGCAAAACCGTTGCTTTGTGAACTTCTTATATGAATGCTTGGAGGATGGCTGTTTGCAACAATGGATAGCTCCTGCAGATTGTCAAATTAAATGCTAAGAAAGGCAAAATTGAGCCAAAAATCATAATAAAAAACCAAAATCATAAACTTGATAGAAGTACCTGGATACTGATTTTGACAAGTTTTTGCTGCTGGATGTTTGGTGTTACATTCGAAAGAAGCAATCAACAAGAAACCAATGATAAACAATAAACTAACGCAGAATCAGAAGCTTGTAGT